AAAATTTCTTCCATTGAATTTCTTTAGTTGCCTGTGTTTGGGGGTGGACGGGCAACGGGAGGGGTCTGCAGAGGACAGGTGCCAGCCCCTGGGGTGCAGAGCTCAGGAGGTGCCAGGCAGTGAGGACTGTGGCCATCAGCCCACGATCCCAGGAGGTTCCTTGTCCCCAGTCTTGCCCGCCACATCGTGCGATTGGTCAAAAGCTTTCTGGTTTTTTCTTGGTTCCTTGTCCCCAGTCTTGCCCACCACATCATGCGATTGGTCAAAAGCTTTCTGGTTTTTTTCTTGGCTCTGTGGGCTCCCTGGTGACTTCTGGTGCGCTCATCTAGACAGACCCTGAGCTGGGCCGACAGAAGGCAGTCTCCCCCCAAAAGAAGCTCCTCTCTATCCGGCCTCAAGCACGCAGGTTCACGTTTATTCATTCTGAGCAATTCTTGCTTAGACGGTTTGCCCGAACCAGCCCTGCCCGGGATGTCTTCTTCAATCAAAATTCTGCTCAAAAGAGCCCAGCTGATCGAGTGAAGTGGCCTTTCCACATGCTATTGACAATCTGTCTCGAGCATTATCTCAGGAGTTTCGCTTTATTTTCTCTCCCAGCCCAGATAGCCTCTGCTTTGAACCATTGCTTCTGGACATATCTGGGTTTGAGGCAGCCAGCATGTTACACCCACCTCCCGGCCTTGCTGAATTTTGCAAAAGCAACATGAAAACTTAAAACCCAGGAAGAAGAAAAAGTGCTTAAATGACTCACCTCTTCCCTCAGTGTGACTTCTGTGTGGAAGTGAGGTCCACAGGGAAACGTGATGTGATTTCTCGAGGCAGCTGGCCTTAGAGATTAAGGCCATCAGGAGCAGATCCACAAACAGAAAGAACGGGAGAACATATCACTTCAGGGGCTGGGCAGCCCCGGACGTGTGTGTGTGGACACAGACACTGCCTCCGAAAATAAAGGAAGGTAAACTCACTCGTGCAAAAGTAGATGTTTGTGAAACAGGCACTTGGATTGACCTCAGGGAATAGATCTAACCCCCAGCTCCCACCCCATGAATTGTTTTATTTACTTCATCCAGATAGATTTTGGAGTCAGTCTGAACACACAGGCACACTCAGTAAACGTTTATGAACGAATCAATGCGCTGCCAGTTTTCTCTTCCGAAAAGCGCAGACGTTCCTGGCCGGTGTCTAAGGACCCCGTGGGTTGGAATTCTAGTCTACACAAAAGAAGGCACGAGTGTGTCTGCAGCCAGCCTGGGCCCAAGACAGCCTGCCCGCTCCCCAGACACGGGGCTGAATACACCCACCCCTGCAGCCTTGGGCTGGATGCGGAACAGCATGGGGAACAGAGCCAGCGAGCCTCAGGAACCAGACAGAAGAGACATAATGTCAGAAGGGGGCTTGGAAGAACAGAAAAGCACCACTAAACCTGGGAGGGTGAGACAGGCAACGGGAAAGTCCTGTGTTCAGGGCCTCAGGGAATTCCAGGAAGTCAGCAATACCCACGCCAGGAGCACCTCTTAAGTCAAAAAGGGAGCAACATGGCCCTGGAATCATCTCTCTCTCAGTGACTGGTGACGACTTGCGAGGGAGATATGGGATCTGGAACCTGAAATTAGCCACTGTAGGAGCTACCAGCTCAGTCACAGAGCGACACTTCTCTTTGTCTCACGAAAAAATGCCTGTAAATGGGAAGATTTTAGATCAGTGGCTTTGAGGCTAAGATGTTTGCAAGGCTGTTTACAAGGCTGTTTATTTGTAATCCCACCTCATACCAGGAAAGATTTGAGACACTGAACTTGCAGGGCCAGAGACGGGGCCCGAAAGGCTCAGTCATGGAAGCGAGGTCCCACAGAGCCACAGACCAGACAGGACACTGCCCTCGCTTTTCTGCCCGCACCCTCTGGGCGGAACGGACATGAATTTTAACTTGTGATAAAGCTGAACAATGTTTTTATATTCGACGTAACCACTCCATTGGGTGACAGAGTTGTGCTGCTGGTAAGTGGACTTCGGCTTGGGCTGCACGTTTCTCCGGCACAAAAGAAGCCGAGCGACGGGTCTGAGGAGCTAAACGCTCACTATTTAGATAACACTGTCATTCTGGTCATGAGGAGCATTTCAGCCTGGGATCCCTGACGGTCACCGAAACTGTGTGCGTTTCTCCAACCTCAGCTGACACAGACGAGGGGAGAGGAGCTGATTAAACTAGGGGCGCCTGCGCCCGTCCCTCTAACGCAGTGTTTATGGGCGCTTACACACAGAGAAGGTCTGTGCCGTTAAAGAGTTTACCATGAAATGGAAAAGAAAGCCAGATTTTTTCATTACAGTAGTAAGAAGATACAGGGCCAAGTATAGAGTATTTACTCTGATTACCCCTGATTAGGGGACATGTCATAACAGGTGGATTGAATCTATTTCTTTTTACTAGATTCCCTAAAACTTTACATCATTCAGTAGCAAGAGAAACATCCGTTTACTAGGACGACGTGATGGGCTCTATAGAACGGACTTGTGAACAAGGGGTTTTAGCAAAACTGAAAGCCTCTCGGCCCCAGAATCTTCAAGTCCCTTCCCGGGGTTTCTGTACTTCAGTTTTTCCTTCTTCATCCTTAATGAGGAGCCCAGTTAGAGGCTGGAATTAATTTTAAAATGCGCCTGCCTATTGTAAAAGGTCCCTGAACATGGAAAGGGTTCTTCAGTGATGCTCCACGCCTCCTTCCCAAGGTACACCTTCTAAAGAGCTCCCCCCTCCCCTCCCCCCACACAGTGCTGCTCCCTTAAGGACAGCGAGCACAGCGCCAGCTCCCTATGGGGCCCCGACAGTCACCTTGGCCCACGGACGAGTCAGTGCTGCTGCGTGGGCCAGGGGGGCAGGCCACGCACTGTTTCTTCCAGTTCCATTGCATCGATAAGGATGAGATGAGGCGTTGGCTGCCATCCCTCCCACCAGGGAGGCTGCGCTGAGGAAAGAGACGGAGGACGTGGGCCAGCGTCCCAGCACACAGCCCCCGCCGCCCATCACAGGTGCCCACGCCGCTCTCTGTGCTCATGAGGTCAGGTTTGGGATGGACGTTGGTTTGCACAGAAGCATATAGGGCAGATGCTTTCCTTTACGTTTCTCTCCTTTCCCCGTTCTTTGCGTGCTGTGCTCGGTCTGTCACAGGAGTTGCTAAGTAACTCTGTCTGCCTGGAGGGAATGGGAGCAACTTCCTCTCTCCAGCCCAGCTCATGGGGCCTCAGAAATCACCACAGACAGAAGGAACTTTTCACACCGCCTAGTAATGCAGTGGCAACATGGGCATCTTCCCTGTTGGACGGTATCTCTCACACCAGACAGCAGGCCGAGTTCACATAGTAGATGAGAAAGGACATTCTGTCACGTAGGGCCTGTCCCAGGAATAGATGGTCAGAGCAGTGGAAGTTGTTCAGATTTCGTCCCCACGGCCATGCGGAAGCGCTGAAGACCTTGGAATGGCGGGGGATTTCGGGAGGACCCGTCTGGGCGTAGTATGCGTGGAGCGGGCTTCCTTGTTCACCCTCTCACTCGCTCTGCCGGTCCCTTCTTCCCAGAACTTGTTCCCAACTGAAAACAAAAACCGCTCCCCGGCCTCACCCCAGTCGTGCTGTCCCAGAGACCCTCCAGGGCCTTCTGCCGTGCACACCTCGCGGGCGGCCAGCAAGTCCCAGCCCCCAGCCCTCCCTCCCCAGAGGGCAGAGCCGGCTGGGGCGCTGCTCAGTCTGCAGAGCTGACCAACGTATCACGGCCGAGGTGGCAGGATGGAAACGCTCTGCTGCCGGGCCCTCGGGGCGGGAGGGCTCCGGGCGGGTCTTCAGCG